CCCCCCTCCCTCTTCTTCTTTGTTCTTAATTTTGCGCGGAGTTTGCTTGCTCCGGGAGGCAGCGGGGGATGCTCGCCTTCCCCTCCCCGGGTTTCCCCTCCCTCCCCATAACGTGTTGGCGGTTCCCATTGTACCCCCCAAGTCTCCCTTTCCTCACACCGCACGATCCGAAGAGACAAACTTGGGATTAAACAGCCCTTCTCCATCCTTCCCACGGTACGGTGCGGGAAAATGCCCCGGCAGCGCATCCGCATTGCCCCGCGGGCATTTCTCCTCACCGAACTGTGGCACCCCCCTCCCCGCCCCATCACCCCCAGTACCTCCTTTCTCCCGGCACTCCAAAATCCATCCCTCTTTTGCCGGTGCGGTTGTTTTGGTGGCTGGGAACAGGGGGAAAAAGGGGGGAGTAGGAGGGCGAAGGGAGAAAGCTGAAAAGACATGTTGGTGGAAGGGCAATTTGCATGAAAAATAGAGACGGATGATTAGGGACCCAGGCAGGGAATTTTGATTGCCCCAGAATTAAAAGATGCATCCTGCAAATCGGAGGCAACGCCAGGTGAAATGTATTCTGGTGTTTTCTTTGTAATTCTGGTATTTTATATTATGTTCTAAAAGTAGCAGTAATAATAAAAAACATATTTTTTTTTGCTGGCTCTGCCTCCATCATGAGCCAAATGTTTTGCAGCGAACACAGTGCCAGCCGTATTTCATACATTAGTATATAATTCTTGTTAATTAGCAATAATTTACGTTAAGAGCATAGAAAATGTTGAGGTTACAGGTTTTATATCTGTACATTTGATCATCTTGTTATTTTCAAGAACTTTGCCTCCTATAAAATTAATTAGGTGAAATGTGGAGGTGTAATCAGCAACCTCTGAATTACCACTTCATTTCCTGGTTTTGATTGTAAATCAGCCCAGTCTGTACAGACTTTTAGCAAAGTCTATTTTTGTTCAGTGCCACTTTTAACTGTCTGGTGTCGAAGCAGCGGGTTACCTTCCCCTGCTAAATAATAGTGACAGCGTCAGAAAGGAATCAGGCCGCGGGAAAACATTATAATTGAGTAATGATTATGCAGAGCTCCTCGCTAAGCCAGTTGCAAGGGGAGCACGGGTGGTTTTGTGTCTTCTTGCTGCGGAGAGCCGGTGAGCTCCAAGTTAGATTCGCGAAATACCTTTGTCTGCGGCGAGCAGCGAGCTACCGGTGGAATTAGTCCTGCAATAATTTACTCCCTCGGTCCGAACGCAAGGAACGGCTTGGGGAGAAAAACGCCATGCCCGGCAATCCCGCAGAAACACCCTGCTCCTGTGCCGGCTTCCCGAGTCGGAGCGTGAGACGCACGTTGTGCCTCCTCTCCTGTCGGTCTGTAAGTTTAGGAGAAAGCCCCAGCGATTAAGACATTGTTTTTATTAATACGAATGTAACCTTCATATTCCTGTGGTTGACCTTACGTTAAATTAGAAGTAGTACTAGAGGCAAGAAATGATGGACTGGATCCCTGTGTCCTAGTTGGAGCTGAGGTACGGCGAGGTAGTGTGCTCTTTCAATATTATTTTACGCAGCACAACTGGGAGCTACTCCAGATCTTCCTCCTCAATATTCAGCCTAGGTAGGGTTGAAATAAATTTAACCTGAGTTCACTGGATTTTTGCACTTTATCAAAATCAGTTCCAATATTGTGCAGTCAAATTAAAATCTATTTTTTGATTCTCTGTGGCTTTAAGTTCATTAAATGTGAAATTGGCAGCCAGCTAAAGAAGGTCAGGCTGATTAACTGTTTAGGAGTTGTATTCTGTCTCACTTGCGTTACCTGGCAGTGTTTTGAGGTGGGTTGTATTTGTAGTACCCTCTCCTCCTGCTCGCTGCTGTTAGCGTGCGTGTTGTGTTGCGCAGACAGAGGAGCACCAACACGCTGCTCGTATTTATTTTTTTTCCCCCTCGTGAAAAGCGATGGCGGTGGAGACTGCACAGAGATTGCCAAGGTATTTTTCTGCAAATGTAACGTAAAAAAAAAAAAAAAAAAAAAGCCAACAGAAAAGAGAGCCGAGTCTGCCTCGTTAAAGCATCCACTGACGATTCTGTGAGCAGAAATAGCCTCATAATGAAGCTTTTTGGAGCTCATTCAGAAAATTTGTCAACTTTGACAACATTAGGCAAGGTATTTTGAGTTTAAAGAAGGCGCTTCTCACTGTTGCGAGGAAATGTGGCAGTTGCTTGGCCAGGCTGATTTTTAGATGCTGAAGGCCATGAGTGCTAACATGTTCAAGATAATTTAGGTATTCCCTTATTTTGGGATTAAAAAACGCTAAATGACTGATTGCCTTATTTCCTTAAGTACTAAAAAAATACCCCATCCAGCTAATATCTCTGGTGGAGAATTTGCTGTATATTTGGATCCTGAGGAGTAGCTCAAAAGTGAGTGGTGCCTCCCCCCACCCCGCAGGCATTTCTGCTGCACTTGCTTTTTATAATTTTGGTTTTCTGCCATAGATACTTATTTATTTATTTGCCTTATACCCTCCCCCTTCCCCCACTCCCCCCCCACTTCGTGTATAACTACTGCCTTTAGGATTTTTTTAAATTGGAAGCCGCAAACGGGCTGATGGGGACAGTGACACAAATCCGTGGGTTTGTGTCTGCACGTGTGTTCTGAGGGCTGGATGTGCCCTGTGTGTCGGTGCCTGGGTGTGTGTGCCCATGCAGGCTGGCTCTCCCCCCTTCTCTTTTACACACATGCACACGTTACCTGCACGGGCTGTGCACGGAGTGTGCAGTGTCTGTGTGTGTAGAAACACCTTCTGTCTACACTGTATTTCTGAATTTTAGAAGCTGGGTCTTGTCTGGCTGGTGGAAGATACACACCCATGTGTGTGAGAGTGTGTGCAGTGCTTTTAGCCTTGAATTCATGTACATAAATAATACATTCAGCAGTAAAACACCATATTCCCTTCTTGTCGTAGTACCACAAGAGTTTCACAGTGTATTCTTTCAGCCTATCCATTTAATTTTAGCACCGAATCGTTCAAGGAGTCAGAAATGTGCCCTCGTGTAGGAACACTGAGACAGTTGCGGTGCTCTTCCTCTGAGTTCTCTGTGCTACGGCTGCTCCTGCAAAATCTCTTCCCTGTAACTGTTGAATCCCTGTCCTCGGTGCCGTGCTGACAGCCGTGCTGCATGGGTTTGGCTGGGGGGAGCAGGCGGACTCCAGAGCGGGGTGTAATATTCATGAACAGGGGGCTCGGCGTGTTCCTCCCCCCGCACCCACTGCCTTTCCCGAGAGCTCTAACCATTCTCCTTTTGTTTCTCAAACTGCAGCCGAACCTCTTGAAGCCATTCTCACTGATGACGAACCTGAACATGGCACATTGGGAGCTCCGGAAGGGGACCACGACCTCCTCACTTGTGGCCAGTGTCAGATGAACTTTCCGTTGGGGGACATTCTTATTTTTATTGAGCACAAACGGAAACAATGCAATGGCAGTCTCTGCCTAGAGAAGGCTGTGGATAAGCCACCTTCACCCTCACCAAGTGAGCTGAAAAAAGCATCCAATCCCGTGGAGGTTGGCATCCAGGTTACGCCAGAGGATGACGATTGTTTATCAACGTCATCTAGAGGAATTTGCCCTAAACAGGAACATATAGCAGGTAAATTAAAGCAAGGAGAAGTGTTTGCGAGTTTATTTCTGTTTCAGTTGCAACGTAGCGTGTTGGCAGTCGTGCGCTGCCGTGTCTGTGTGTTCTGCTCGCCGTGAGGGCCGGGCTGTCCGTGCCCTCCCTGCCTCGGGTTAGCGGTGTTTCCCGGTGCCTGCGCAGCGGCGGGAGCAACAGGCACGTGCCGTGCCAGCCGGTGTTTCTGGCCGTATTGTTTGAGGCCACTCTCGTGATTTGCCTGCATTGTAGTCATCGTCTCCCGGTGTCTGGCCTGCCGGAGCGCCGCGGGAGGAGGGTTCCGAGGCTGCCGCGCGAGAAAGCGAGGAGCTTTTGAGTCTTTGGCAAAGTCAGGGGTGAAAGAGTTAACCGAGCATCCGCCAGCCTTGGTTCCATATTGGCTGTCAGCGTATGGACTGTAATTAAACACAGCCCCATGGCAAAGTGACACCACCGACCTTGACTTTAAGATGCCATTTTCGACTGGCCAGGCCAGAGTAGAGAGGGCAGTTGCTGAAGCGCACAGACATGCTTATTCGAAAAGTTTAAGGGCATGTTGGAAATTTCAAAAGGTTGGTTTGACAGGAAAGGCTGCTCTCTGCAGCCTGCCTCCTCAGCCAAATGATAAATGCTTCGCTGTGCTCTCTCTTGTCTCTGATGTGGTTTTGACAGATGTATCTTGATTTTGTTTGCGGTTTACACAACCACATGTCAGCTGTACAAATGTCCAAGGCAGAGTTCTGTTTTGTGCAACAAACAATATGAAATGTAATTTAAAAAAAAGAAAAAAGGGTAAATAATTCCATTTCATAGCATAATTTTTTTTTTTTTTGTAAAATCAGAAAGCCATTGGCCATGCAGATATTTTCACAAATGAGGTTAAAAAAATAAAAGTGTACCATGTAAAAGAAAATCCCAGAGCCCTGGGAGTGTAACAAGGCACGCTCTGCCTTTAAAACCCTACTAGTAAACAAAAGTACTGCCCATTCGCAGCGAGCGTTTCAGATCACTTCAAACCACGCCAATACTGCCAGTCGAAAAAGGCGAGACCGCCGCGTGTCAACCCCAATGAATGCCTGAACCAGTTTCAAGCTCCCCCTCCAGTGATGTCTGGGATGTGGCACTGTGGGTACCTCTCTTCGGGGAGCCCACAGGACCGCTTGGGGTTGTCGGAGGCGCAGTACATCATCACATGATGTGCTGGAGCTTGTCTTGGGCTTGCTTTGGCCACAAAGTTAAACCATAATAGGGCAGTAGGTGCTGGGAGGTTCGGCAGGATCCTCCCGGCAGCCTTCCCTGGCCTCCAAGACGGCCGCCAAACTGTGCTGGAGAGCTGCAGTTTTGGAGGTTTTGTGGTGGCAGCAGATCCGTATCGGTGCATGGGTGTCTGTCTGCGCACGTGTCTGTGTGCAGAGCCATGTGCGTGCACACGCAGACGTCATGTGAACAAGTGTGTGCTGTTTCTGCACAGTAATCGGTCTTCCCTTGAAACGTGAATGTCTCTACATTTAAGAGGAAACACAGGTTCAGCTGCTGCGAAGCTGTATTTTGAATGAGACTTAAACCCCCCCAGTAATTCCCCATATTGCACTTCCCAGACATGGATATTATAGGTGAGGTTTCTTTCCCAGAGTGTTAGAGGGCAGTGCCCATTTCCATGTGCTGCCTGCGATCTGACGGAAAGCGAGCAGAAGTGTAGAGCGTGATTAATGAAGCAGGAGCCTGGCGGAAGGGATTTGTAGTCTTCCAAGCTCTGGAGCCATACTAAATCACCAAATATGGAGGAGCGGTGGTATGATGTAACGCTGTATTTACGTACGGCGCCGCTCCGCTCAAAAGACAAAACACAGTATCTGTCAAGCAAGAATTAAACATGCTGTCGTCCCCGTGGTCCCAGCTCGGTCCCTGGGCTGGAGGGATGGCCACGCTGAGGAGTTCTGCATGAGGGGAACCTCCTCTGCTGAGGGTTTTGCTCTGGCACTCACTTGGTGCGGGAGGCTCAGCGAGCCAAGCCTGGCTTTGGCGTGGCGCAGGTGACGCGAAGCGAGGAGGATTTGGGCTCGCGCGCCGTCACGGGGCCGTTAATTCAGAAAGGGCTGTGGTTTTACCTGGCTGTAAATGCTTCGCTGAGCACAGGCACAGTGGCAGGGCCTGATCCTGCTCGCTCGTACACGTAGGTGGGCTTGACTGGGAGCTGGCTTGGCGCCGTGCAGGAGGGTCCACAGAGCAAGACGTGAGTGTGTTCTGAGTAGGGATGGAGTTGTGGTTGTCAGGACTCTTCTGCCCCAAGGTTTCTGGCTGTGGTGCTCAGCCATGCCTATATGGATGGGAGGTCCAAGATTGCAGGTTCTCTGCACCTCCCTGGCTGGGCTGGAACCGAGCAACACTGGGGGTCCCTTGGTTCTTCCTGTTGGAAATGCAGCCTGGCTTTGGCAAAGGGAGAAGGGGAACCAGGAGCTATGGGGTCTTGCGCTGTTCCTCCCTTTCTTGTTTTCATCTGCTTTTCAGTAGGATGCAGTTGGAGTTCAGCTCCCTTGTGTCACAAAGAAGTGTGGTGATAGCTGGAGTTACCCATTGCTCGTAGTCTGTTGTTTGAGGAGTCCAGCAGTAAAATTTCCAATGAAGCTCTTGGAGCCTGAACTGTGAAGTTCAGGCTTCAGGAAGACCCCTGTGAAGAACCTCAAACTCTTCCAATTCAGCTATTTATATCTGATTTCTGTTCAAGAATGCAAAATGCAAGATTTGAGTGTGTAATTAAGGGGAAAAAAAAAATAGAGGCTGCCTTTGGAAAAATACACAGAAGTTGAGGAAATTATTCTTTCCGCTAGGAGACCATAAAATAGATATTTTGTAGCAATGTAAAAATGTTCCAAATTAGTTTTGAGGATGGAAGAGGTGTTCCAGGTTAGCCCTGGATACAGAGGTGCTGTGGGTGAGCTCTGGGTGCAGATTTTTCCCTGCCTGCAGTTTTCTAGTCAGTAAGTTGGGGTGTTAGAGTAAAAGAGAATTATAAGTAATGGTTAAAGATCTGTGGAGGAGCAAGGAGGCAGCGACTCATTCAAATGCAGGGAGAAATGTCTGTTTTAACTGTCCTTAAGCTGCTCTTTATCTTGCCATTTTCCAGAGACAGGGATGAGGGCAGGAGCTTATATGTGTGTGTGTGCAACCTGTGCAGCAGCTGTGGGATCCATACAGGTGCAGGCATGTGTCCATACCTGGCTCCTCCATGTGGGTGTCTGCCTGTGCACAGCTCTGCCTTGCTATAAAATTTTGAGTGATGCTGATCCAGCGCTGGAGCTGAAATGCCATAAATTTAACTGAAAATTAATAGGATATGTTGTGTGGGTCCAACGAGGCAGCTTTCATCAATATGTATGTCAAAGCCTCACCACCAGATACCGGCATCCCGTGATTTGCAGTGAGGGCGACGGCAGGGCTTTAGTTATCCGCTCTCGTATTTTACAATAGGGGGAAATATTAACTGAAGTATCTGGAGATCAGTGAATGTAAAATCGCTGCTCACTTATTGAAAAGGCTGAGGAAATATTTATCGCCCGCCCGTGTCAGGTTTTGGCGGTTTGTTTGTTGCATGTATGAATCCGAGGGAATTAATGAAAGGTTTGGCTTTGGGTGAAGAAGGATCTTAAATGTTACTTGGATGCATATGGGGGAACACTTTGGAGTGCTGCTGCAAATTCCCCTGTACGATGCCGAGTGTGGATCCGCGGATGCTCTATTTACTGTACAAAGAGGGGAGGAGGAGGGGAGGTCATTTTTACTGCTCGAATCCTATATTCTCAAGCTGCTTGTGACATTCAAATTAAACACGTGGGAAAATAATGTAAGAAATCCCTCTGTCTGCTGCAGTCGGGGGAAGGTGAACGTCATTTGGTATTAAATTTGAGAATGAGCTTTATTTGATTATTACAGTTCTCGGGAAGTAATGTCTTTAAGCAGAATTTTTTTGGGCTGTTGTCAGTAGTTGCCATTATAATTCTGGAGGTTGTGATTGTTGATTCCTTGTTTTGTTTTGTTCTGGAGACAAAAAAATACTGCTGTCTGCACTGAATAGTTAGCATTGCATCTGGACAATAAGATGAAAGCTTAAAAATAGAGCGGGGGGGAAGAAGGAATATGGGAAGATTTTGAAGTCAAATTCTATCTGCTTTCCCCATACAAAGAAAGAGAGAGAGCAGGCTGGGTAAAATATTGCAGACAGGAAAAAATAGTGAGGGTGCTGCCCAAAGGCTCCCGCTCCCAAGATTTGGAGCACTGCGTACAAGCTGTATTTGTAAATAAGACAGAGAAAGGTTGTGAACCGGCAGCTTGGCTGTTTTGTCAAAGTACAATGTCAGAGAAACTCTTTCTAAGACAAATTGTAAATAGAAGTGTCACGATGATTGCATGATTGAGCTCTAGAAGTGTCTTGCAATTGTTGGCATTGTCAGAAGACTTTTGAAAGCTTAATTAAAGGCGGTGGCCTGTGCGGCTGTGAAATTTACTTCTTGGGGGGGAAAAATGTAAAAAATGTAGGGGATCAAAAAGTTGCTGTAAGGCTGCTCGCGCAGGGATACAGAGAAGAGTCAATAGTTTCCCTGCTTTCCCCGTTGCCTTTTATAAATTACGTTTTTTGAAGAAGCAAGCACGTGACACCAATATCATCCTTTGTACGAGGTAAAGATTGTGTTAGTTTTCCTATTCCCTGCTGTTCCAGACAGTTAATGTAAAAATGGCTCTTTATTGGAAACACAAATAGGAGTTCACTCGAAGCACAGAAGCAGGGTAGAAAGTTTTCCTCTGCCTCTGCCTTCCAGGGGAGCATCACAGTGTTGTGGTGCCCTGAATATTTCTGCTGGGTTTTTTTTGTTTCCTGCAAACCAGATCTTCTGAGAGGATGAGAAACACATTTTGTGTTCCTTCTCCTATTGCATGGGACACTGAATTGTGGAGCTGCCCATGAGCAGAGGCATCACTGCATCCAAAATGCTGGTGGTTCA